TAATCACAAAGCAGAAGGCACATGTTAAACAATCAGCATGCGCCATGGTTCCAGCAAGCATAGGATTGGGAACCCCTGGTATAGAGTATTTTACCTTTGTTTTGCAGACATAACTAAGTTGCAACACTTAAATAATCTCAAAGTATATAAAACTCGTACTGTTTATCAAGCAAGCAAATGACAACAAGCAAATTAACAACAAAAAATGACAAAAATTCAAAGAACATCCTTAATCTTGCTGTTTATTGATTGATGTGAGTTAGATAATATGAAGTTATGCTTGATGCTCCTTACAGAACTAAAATATGATACTGTCAGACACATATATCTTTCACATGCAAAGCAATAGCTTGAGTTTGACGAAATGTTTTTTCGCCCCTGAATAAATAATCTAGAGAAATGCCATATAATTTCAGGCATTGGAAATCATGTTTCTGTGTGCAGGCAATGAAATATTTACCCAATTAAAAAAATACACAAAAAAATTTTAGAAATATGCTGTAAATCAAGTTGGCAGGAGCATATCAGCATATTTGAATACATAAATAATTTATAAATACACGGTTTTTGCCTAAAATATGAACACAGTATTTCTATAAAAAATATTCTTTCATGCACCTAATGCAAAATATCCTTTCAGTGTGCATCATGACAAAAGTTAAAACTGTCTGCAATTTTTATTTTTAAATAATATAAAAGTACATTCTTAACCATGGACTAGTCTGGATATGAATCCAACTGAAAATATGTAATCCAGTGCTAAAAGAAAATTGAAGCAAAAGAGAATAACCAGAAATAGTAATGACCAGAAACAAAATACAGTACAAAGTCCGAGATCCGGACGTCCAATATCCGAAATTATCTAAAATCGGGACCTCAAAACCGCCAACAACTTTTTTTTAAAATGCTACATGCATGCACATTTGATTCCCCCCCCAATAGATAAAATATGTGGAGAGTCCCCATTCTTAATTTCCCTTTAGCGCTAAATAAATACCTCACTATTGAAGAAAAATTAATTTGGCTCCATACCTGCATATCTGTTTGGCATACATCTCAAACAAAAAAATTCTAGATAGAAACATTGTTGATTTTACACCTACTAATATTTCATATCTCTGACGGCAACCTGGCGAATCATTATTTACTATATTTTTCTTTCATCACCGCATGTTTATCAACACATGACAACTTGGGTAATGACTCATACAGTGATTCCCAAACATTAGAACAAAGAGTAAAGTGTTGATATTATTATGAATGACAATGATTACAGATTTAAGTTACATGCACTATAAAATACTGATGAGGAAAAATTTAACAAAAATTTCTTTCCATATACTAAAAATAGATTTTGTTAATGATACTCATAGGCTAAAATATTACATTTAGTGCTATTTGATTGAAGAATAACTGATTTGCTTTTCACATAAACCCAGAACCAGCGCCAGAGCTCGTATGGCTACACCGGATGGCAGAATTTAGGGATGACAAGACTTTTGGAATTTAGAGAAGCACCAAGCAATAAAATTAAAGGATGAAAATATTTTTAGAACTTGGGGAAAGCACTGGAATCTAAAATTTAGGCGGCAGCAAAAATTTAGAACTTAGGAAGGCACTTGGTAGCAGAATTTAGGAACTGCAGAGACTGCATAAGGTGGTAAAATATCTAGCACCTTCCCTCAATAAGCCTTAAATATATGTGAGAATTTATTTACTCAGGATTCAGATAAGCCTTGAGCATGTACAAGAAATAGACATAACAGTGGCGTGTGTTCCACATGCACACACCCTGGCAAAATTATGAGAGACAATTTTCTACACCTATCTTTATATGCTATATAATAAATATTATTTATAATATATTCAAATATTATGTTGATTTGCTTGCTTGTATTCCCGCAGTGCGTGCGGTACTAGGTGCTGCAGTGCGTGCGTAGTGCGTTCAAAAGCAAATGAACATAGGAAATTTTGATGTGTATGCACTGCGCTCTAATAGAAAATCACGCTTTATATGTATGGGCTACTGGAGAAGCACAGCATACTATAGCACTGAGGCAAGTGCATCTATTTTTCCTGCACTTGGCATTCAGAATCATCCAAAGGTATGGTTCATTAAGCATTGTATTAGAACGTCGACTTACGTGCTGAAGCGCTTTTGGTTTTTTAACTGATTAACTGGCCATACAATTTTGCAGACGATTAATGTTTAAATTTATATACAGTCAAAAGTCGTTAATCCGGACTCGTCGGGACTTTGGCGATTCCGGATTATAGATCATCAGTTTAAATCTCGTAAGATGGCATGCAGAAATTCTAAAATTAAAAATATGAAACCGTAATTTATGAAATAAAGAACAATTATGATCTAAAGGGTATCAAAAGTTGCAAAAAGAAAAAGCTTAATACTTATTTGTTTACTTTATTAAACATTTCTTTCAGTGTAAGTTGTTTAAGTTTTGCTTCGTTTCATGTGATAATACTTTCTCTTTAATTCTATTAAACAGACATAATTTCTTGTTCAGTTACAAAGTTCCGCTGTTCAAGTCCTATAATTGCTGTGTTGAGAACACCGACTAATTTGTCAATCGAAATTTTTTCATTTTCAATAACCTCTGTTCTTCGCTATCGAAAGCAAATTATAATGACGAGGAACTTGTTTTAAATCATATCAAAGACGGAGCATATCGAGATGAAATACTACATTTGGTAAGGAATTATAAGCCAAATAAAATAAAAACATCTGCGCTGAAGATAAGGATAGTGCTGACAGATCAACTTCCAATTCATTACGCACCCGCAGCGGCGATGGGGCGGCAGTCATGGCAGGAGGCATTGAATGGGATGCAGAAAAAAGTAAAAGACATTTTCCCAGAAGCTATGTTTGTGCATTGTTGAGCACTTCATCTCATTTGGCAAATACCATAAAAAGTGAAAGGCAAGGCCTATCTGATTTATTTGCAAATATTATTGAGAATCCAGAAGGCTGGGATAACGATACAATTAATATTGCAAAGAGTTATCACGTTTTTTGAAGAATTTAATGGTAATTTTCTCCTAAATATTTTTGCCAAAGTGTTTAGTTATACTAATGTTCTATTTGATATTTTACAAAAAACTAACTTAGATATAGCATATTCTAGTCAAAAAGTAGAGGGAGTAAAATATGCAAACTTCTGTTGAATTTGATGAAGTTTATGAAGAGACTATTTCTATAGTGGGTCTCCCAAATTTAAAAAAAAATGTCCTGTAAATTTACAAAACTCAAGTGTAGACCAAGACCAACATTTAAAAAATTTATATTATGAAATAATGGACACTATTTATTGTCAGTTAGATGTCCATTTTAAAAAAAATTACATTTGCTCAAATTTTTTGAACTATTGAATTTCAGTATTTTTTAAGAAATATCAAAGTAAATTTCCAGATGAATGCCTTAATTCGTCAAAGAACGCTTATGCAAAACATTTCGATTTTGTAAAGCTAACCAATGAATTATGCGTTCTTTATTGTAGTGAGTCATACCACAAAATGAATTTATCGAAACTTATTCAACATATAATGCTGATTTATCTCTAATAACAATAGAAAAAGAAATGTTACACATATTACAGTCAAAACCAGAGTTTTATGATCATGTAATTGATGATTTTGTTAGTAATACGGATAGACGTATGGATTTTGTGTACAAATGAATAATAAAAAGTTAAAAAAGAGTTTAATGTACATTTTTATGGTTTTATTATTATTATTGTTGTTCTCTGCACACAACCTGCATGAAAACCTACCGCACACCACTGAGACATAAGTACAATAAATAACTAAATTAATACAATCAGGCTTAATTGCCTCAGTGCATGATAGAAGCAAGACAAAATTTAGCAGAACAACTTGTCTTTCTTTGTCAGTCTTATGATACATAGCCAATAATGTATAGCAAGCGCTATGAAACTAGGCTAAAATTATACTTTTCTGATTCCAAACAATTTCAGTTAATATAGCACACTGTGCTGTTCCGTAACTTTCTTATTTGATCCATCTTATTATTTCATTGACACAGGAAATAATGCACTACAATTTTCAATAGCATTGCATTCTGTTAAAAAAATCACAGCTGCCCATTTCTAGAGACGGTATTTTTTGGGGGAGGCAAGTAAAAAATCAACTATCTCTTTGCCAAAGCTTCAATAAAAAATGAGAAGATGGAATGAAACACAGTAAATGTAATCCAGATGGTGAAGAGTTATCCTCTATCACATGCAAATTTAGGGTACACAGTAGTGTAGAATCATTAGGTTATTTTGAAGCAGAAACATGAAAAATGAGCAATGCCCTACTCGCCAGGAATCAAACCTGGACCTCTAAAAATATGCGCCGACTGTGCTAGCATTACATCGCGAAGGCATATGCAGAAAGAAGGGAGAAAATACCTTACATATTCATCCTTTTAAAGGGTGACTGGGGATTAAGAGACTCAATCGCATAATCCTGGTGGTGAACAATCATCATCCACCAATTTTTAATTTGGGCGCTGTAGAGTCAATAGGTTATTTTGAAGAAGGAAACAATGAAAAATGAGCAATGTCCTTGCTGGGATAACCTGAACCTCTCAAATACATGCCGAGTCTGCTATCATTACACCATGAAGGCATGACAAAAGGGGGGGAATACCTTATACCAGATGGAATATCTTCATTCCTTACAAGTTTTCTCCAGTTTTTATAATTACCAAAATGAATATTCCTGTAATAAGTATTATAAATGCTATGAAAATCAGCTTTGAATATATCTTGAAGTGGTTAGAAAAGTGTACTTCAAAAGATCGTAATATTATACTTCTGCTTCATGTAGAAGCAGTTTTACTACATTTTGAATAACCTACATACATATTAAATAATAAATATTTATAAAGTAATCTATTACACCACCTAAATAAATTAAAGAAATTTGCTTTAACAGGAAAAGTAATGATTTTTCAAACAAAAGAAAATGTGACCAACCTTCCGCTTCTGTGTTGCTGATGAGCGTGTAGGTTCAGAAGTCTCACTAGATGCTACAACTGGCTGTAAATCAGATTCTCCAGTTTCTTTTGCTTTTTCAATGTTATCACTATTGTGACTATTTGCCTGAATAACGACAGGAATGTTAACACAGTCTGATACACTAGAAGACACATTACCACAGACAGTCTGATTCGAAAAGTTGTTAGTAATTGATAAGCAATCGCTAACAACAAAGTTCCTATTACCAGGAGACACAGAATGCTCAGAATTTACAGATGGAAGAGAATTCTGCTCTTCACACAATTTCATATCTTGCTTTGATGCATGATCAGTTCCATTTTTTGGAGGCTGAAGGTGCTCTGATACTTTGGGAGATGTAAGCACTGGTTCACACGAAGAAATTGAAACTTGATTTAAAGACTCGGAAACAAGAGATGTTACAAAGTTTGAAATATTTACAGATGATAATACCTGGTTATCAGTAGTATGAGTTCTAGAAATCAAATTTTGAGCAGAAATACTTTCACTTTTTTTATGAACAGAACCACCTTCACTTGAATCAATGGTGTTAGCACTTTTTTTATCATCCAAAACTGTTTTATCTGGCAAAAATTTTAACAGATGCCTTTTTGATTCAACAAATGTCTCTGGTGCTAAGTCAGGTGTTTGGCTAAGAGTTTTTATACAAATGATAGGAGATAGTTCAGAACGAGCTGTTTCCTGAACAGTTTTTGTTTTGATATCATCTTTGATTTTTAATTCATGATCACAGTGTGTTTGCATAGATGATCCTGGTATGTTACAGGTTAGTTCATTAGAATCTAATTTTTCAGAAAAAGAATTATATGCATTGGAAAAAGAGGAACAAGGTTGCTCACCATCAGATATCTCCATTTCCTATAAATATATAAAAAATATTAGACATACAATATTAAAGTGTCTAAAAATTAAATAAAATGTTTTCTTGATAAACAAAAATCTCTTAATATTTCTTATACATAGCAGACCACATTTATAAGATTAAAATTATCCAGATATATATATATATATATATAACCTAAATACATGGATACCACTATATGCAAAATATGATATAAAAGAAAAGGGACAGCATAAAAAATGTCTTATTAATACTGCAATTAGCAAAAACTAAAGATGAAGACATCCAATAGGAATCCACCAATGAGAATATTTATAAGTTACTTACTTGTATCATACATACAAATATGAAAAGGTGTTTCATGAACAACAATATATAATTCCTTTGGAAATATTTTTAAAATGTTTGCACATTTTCTCAAGTTTATACAAGATGATACATACAAATATCATTAAAAAGTGACATCAAGTTCACTTGCTAGTATTTAATAGATGAATAATTTTTTCTTAAAGGTTTATGGTTCTTTAATGCATTAATCAAAGAGTCCTGAACACAATATACTTCTAGAAATGCATTTTAATTGCCCCTGGATCTTGAATTAAACTGTAAGGAACTTGATATTAATTTGATAACATCCAATTTAACAGTAAACCAATCGGTAAAATCCTCTATGGATAGTTTCCTTAAGTACAAAATCTGCAGAGCTGGCTGGGTAGCAATTTTTATGAATTTTGATTGTATCTAAGCAGGGGGAATGAAAGAACTTTCTTTGCAAATTTCTCAGAAAGGAGATATCATCTTACATATTTGCATTAATTAGTTAAAGTGGGTTGGCACAACAGTGAATTAAAAAAAAAAAAAAAAAAAAAAAAAAAAAAAAAAAAAACTTAAGTATCAATGAATACTTTGTTCTTTAACCCTTCAGGGGGCAAAGGGTTTTACTCTAAAATATCGAACTTTCCAAAAATGGCACGAGTAAATGTTGTTTTCTTGATTATGATTCTAAAGTACCTTAACTCTTTTTTCTTCCCCAATATTTATACTAGCTTAATTGTGCGGACACTTTTCAAAATGCATACCTGTATACTTAGAGATATCATGACAAATAATTTTGAACATATGTAATATAGCTTGACCACTTGGATGGCTCACAAACAATTCATAATGGTAAGAAAGGGCTTAAAATATAATGAAATTTCATTTTGAAAAATACCATATCATTTGCCACATTCTGCTGATACCACGAGACAGAACAGAATATTAGGGATATATTATTTTAATATTTCTCTTTTGATCTATTATTTTCATACCAAGAAATTTCTCTCTTTTTTATTTATTAGTAGCTGTTACCGGCATGCATTGCAGTGCTACTTAAAGGAAAGAAAGTATTTGTGCTTTAATACTGTTTATTGAAATGCTTTTGGATACACAATATTTTTTTTTCCATCTGGTGCAAGCAATTTCACTTTTCTACCCACACAGCAACAATGTTCGTCCAGATCAAGCAGTGTGTACTCAAATATTTTCCAATCTCGCTTCCTGTTGCTCATTTGTTTCATACAAACGAGCTAGAGAAGTATATATGCACGTGAACGTTTTCTAGTCTTGCTTCCCATTGCCAGTTTATTTCAGTTTTATCATGCTTAAGATGCAAATCGAGCAACCAATTTTCACTCTAGTGGCATAATTGATTTGACAGCGAAAGTAACTGTTATTATAAATTCACTTTCACTATGTGACTATTATTACAAATTCACTTTCAAAAGCAAAGAAAATGCGTATGATGCAATAACACACATGTTGATGCATGCATGTTATTGCATGAAAAATTAAATATTTTGTGCTTTGTTGAATGATAACACACTTTGAAATATTTTAATTTGGACAATGCAACACATTTCTCTTAATAGCAAGTTATTTTATTTAATTCAAGACAAATTAATATAATTGTATTTTCCCAAGCGACAACACAATTTTTTTATATCACCGAGTATTCTGATTAAATTTGAAAAATATATATCTTAGGCTTTTGCACAGTGGTAATGCAAAGCTTTCAGATCACAGAGTTTTTAATCAGAATTTGTGTAAAATATATGTATAATGAATTTTTTTGGAAAAAAGAGGATGTCGAAAGAATTGTAGAAAGTTTGATGATAGCTACAGTAGTGATTGAGTGTATCACAAACAAACAAACACATGTTCTTCTTTATATACATATAGATAAACATATTTTTCAAGGTTAAATATACTTTATAAAACTGATTTAACCCTCTCATGTACTTTTTTTATCAAAGTAGGTTCAAAAATTGCGTATTTTTTTATTACATAGTTCAAATCTATATATATTTTAGAGTTAAAATATAGAAAAATTTTTTGAAAAAGAATTTTTTGAATATAGAATTAGGTCATAGAAAAAGGTTATAAGAATACTGAAATTGAAGAATAATGATACAAAAGGAAAATTTTAAGAATTAATATTGGTTAAATTATGATTTATTTTATAAAATACAACGGTAAAACATATATACTAATGAAAATATTTGCATAATGTAATATTCTGCATATTAATTTTGCACCACTGTTGAACATTTTTAATAGCAGCTGAATTTTCAGATCCATCATTATCTGCAAAGAAATCTGAGAAATTCTCATCAGTTTCGCTATAACTATCTTCAATATAGTCAAATATAATCAATAATCAAATTCACTCAGAGTCAGAACTACTATCAGTGTCGGAAATATCGTCAGGAATATAGGTTATATCACATATAGGTTATATCACTCGCGAAATGTTTCCTGCCACACATCTTTGAGCTCTGAAAAGCACGCACAAAATGCTACATTATGTATTCTTGTATATTTGGCAGAAAAGTGGACAGCTAACGCCATCTGTTAGCCCACATCTAAATAAACAATTAAATATCACAGGAAAGACGAAAGGAAACCTTAAACGGGGGAAAAAGCCGGTTGCACAGTTAAATAGACGACGAAAATTCAGCCCCGCAGAAATCGCGGTTTGCGCAAACTTTGCTACTTCTATGTTGGCCGTGGAAATCGCTAGATGTGCAGCGAGAGGGCTAAAGCCTTCAAATAAATATCCTTTCTACCTGGTGTTTGGTTTTGGTATTTCTGATTATGGCAAAGCATACTAGGGCTATCTGTCTAAGAGCAAGGATGCCTAAGGGTCAATTCAACAAGTCAGTGGTTTAAAAACAAAGCCAGATACTTTTCATGTACATTGCTTGACGAAATACTATAATAGCTTACTGTTTATCAGTACAGAAACTGAGATAGTAAAAAACATCAATAATAAAGCATTTATAACTATTTTTAGTAATAGTTTCTTCAAATATTTGCACCATTAATGTGATTAATGAAAACCATTTGAAACCCAAATACGATTTGCATTAGTGAACTACAGTTGAGAATAATGGCCCCATTATTCTCAATAATATTGAAATAATTTAAAAATTAAATCCCATAATCTCTTAATATGGTTTTGCACTCAAAAAAATCAAAATATAACTTATTTTAATTAACCTTTTTTTCCTTTATGAGTGCCAAATATCCTGTTTGCCATACAATTAATCAAACAGTGAATAATTGCTTCATCTGGATGATAATATTAAGCATTGGTTAACATTTTCTAATTAAAGCTTCCTATCAGCAACCCCTTAATTCTGACTCACAACTTTTACTTTTAGGCCAGAATATGATCATAATATTAATCTACCTTTAACCTTTTAAGGCCAGGGCTTTGGTAGCAGTAAAAGCCTTGAAAGGATGGGGAATCTTGAAGTGAATGCTTTCTCCCCTTTAAGAAATCACCTCCTATTTGCAACAAAGATTCTTGTGTGTAGTTTAATGGATTCTCAGAGGGGTGCATCTATGTCGCAAAAGAAAGGGAAGTGTAGGGATTAGTGACCAGACTTCAAGATGCTTTTCATCAGTGAGGGAAAATTTCATATTGGTTGTTCTGGATTGAGACTACTGGGAAATGTGTAAACCTCAGTTGAAGAAAATGCCATTCTTTATATTATAGGACGTTACTTTCATCATTATAAAATTTTGGTTAGAATTTTAAATTACACTGCACAACTATGTGTCTTTACTAAGTGCTTACAATAATTCTATTGTACCTTTATACTAATGTTATGTCAAAAAAAATATTTCAACTATTTGATTATTTATTTCCTTGCAAAATTTAACCAGTCGTTATCTCAGTCTTTTTTTTTTTTTTTTTTCTTTCTCTTTACTGTTAAATGTCTTTATAATTTAAATTTGTTTTGGTATATTTTGTTTTGGTATTTCTTTTTGGACATTCTTCACTACCACTTAGTTGGTATTTCTTTGGACATTCTTCACTATGTATTTACTTTTGGTTTTGACTTTTACCCTTGCTTGCATGAATGACAAAACATGAATTGAATGATTGAAGAGTTAGGTTTGGAAGCAACTTCCCCTTGATTAGTCTGTCTCCTGCCTGCTCAAGTCATTCACTAAATTGGTGAATTTATTTTCATGTTTTGGTTTTGCACTTCATTTACTTATGCGATCTGAATTTACATGATATTGTAGATTAGTTCGAAAATTAAATCTTTTAATATGTTGCACATTCATTTTTTAACTTTAAATGTGCCTTTTTTACGTATATACATGTTTGTTAATTTAAATTTTCCTTCCTTTGCCAGCAAGGGCGCAAAGATTATTAAATTTTGTATTATTCAATTATTCTTTGAAACAATTTATCAAATATAGCTTATATCTTTGACTTTCTTTTCTTCCATACAGGGAAATTAAAAATAAATGCTTAAGCTATAGAAATATTTACAATTAGTTCAGTGGAACTGTTAAATTGCCTATAGGCGTAATAAATTTTAATTTTACAGAATTGTTCAAAATCTTCTTGATAACATACTATTTAGGAGGAAACTTTCAGCAAATTAGAATATAATTGGTTTAATTAAAAAAATTTTATTTTATTGTAGACTGTTTTGTACTGCATGTCCAACTACAT